TGTACCTGCTGGTCGGGATGGGCAGAGGCTGGGACCTCTTCACCTCCCCAGACAGAGGGGCGTCCTGGGGCGGGGGAGTTCCAGGCGGGGTGCCAGGGGTTGGGCACAGGTCTTCTGGGGAGCTGCTGAGCTGAGGTGGGGAGAGATCCAGCTCCATGACATCTAAGGGAGGTGGACTGATTCCAGCTGCTCGCAAGCCTTGTCCTGGGGAGAGGGGCCAAGAGAACTCAGGCCTGGGGACCTCACAGAGCTGGCAGTTGCCCTCTGAGCTGCCATTGCTCCCCCTCTAAATGGAGTTCCCGAGAGCCCTCAGAGAAGGATAGAATGAACCCAATTTATTAAAGGAGGCCCTGAGGCCCTGAGAAGGAAGCATTCATGCCCCTGAGGACAGGTGTTTGGACTCCAAATCCAGTGCTCTTCCAGCCAGAGTCACTCAGTAGAAGAGCTAAGAGGGTCCCACTTGTTACACGCCTGGTAACAGCGACCATCTCCACAACCCACACTGTCAACTCTCAGAGTCAGGGCAAAGGCCACCCTTCTACCTCCAAGTGTGGGACACTCACTGTGCAGGGCTCTGCCCTGGGTTTTTCCAGCACTTCCCCTGCCAGACCCAGTTGCCAAGCCTGTTGTGGCAACATCAAGTGATGAGTGATATACAGAAAGGAAGAAGGAGGTGGAGAAAGACAGGAACCAGAAGGGCTCAGCAATGGTGGGAGGGGAAGGTCTAGTTGGGGGCCCTTGCCCCAGTAGCCCCCAAGCCTTGTGTGCCCTCCGCAGACCCCTCAACTGGCCCAACTCTTTCCTGAATCCCCAATGCTAGAGCCACCTCCTCTGAGAAGTCTTCCTGGATTTTCCACATTCAGACTCAATGGCTCCCTCTCAGCACTGTGCTGGGGCCTTGGCAACAACTACTATGCACCTGTCTTATCCACCACTGGTCTGAGGGCATCCAGCATTGCCCCTCCCAGGCTGAGCCAGAGTCTTATCCATGTTTTAGCACCCACAGGTGTTAAGGACACCCAGGACAAGTAAGGACAGGAAGGGAAGGGCAAAGATGCCCCTAGGGGTAGAGGCAGTACTGCACCACCTCTCCAACAGAAACCAACAGACCCCTTGGGCTGAGTAGAGACCTGACGGGACCAGGAGAAAGCACCAGCCCCAGCCCCCTGCTTGCTCTCCAGACATTGGGCCAGTACCATGATGCTTTGGGGGGCACCCAGGATTGCCACCTCCATAAGGCAGGCACCTGACCCTTTAGTGAGGGCATGAGGGACGTTGGGGGACAGGTGAGTCAGGGCGGGCGGGACAACACTGCTGGAGGCTCTACATTCAACCTTGACTCATCCACACAACTTCCTGGCTTAAGAGAAACACAAACAACCCAGCCCCCCCACACACACACACACACAATCTACAGGTAGCCTGGGAGGATGGGGGAAGCCCTGGGAAGGAACAGGATGGGGAGAAGAAGGATGCCGGCCTGAGGCTCCTCTGACGTCACCTCCTCCTCCCCACCCTTGGCCTACCTCCAGTCCAGGTGGGACTGCAGCAATCTGCCCACCTCAATCTCCCAAGCCACCACCCAGTCCCAGGAAGGAAAAAGGAAATGCCCGGCCTGGATTCCTGAAGCCTGTCTGGAATGGAGCTCATCTCCTTGTGTAGCCCTCTACCTCCACCCCAGGGGCACCCAGAGTTTCCTACCCTGGGTCTAGGGCCTGAAAGTTTCTCATTTCACAGCTGGCACACCCATAGGACTTAGGAGGTCATATCTGGCCCAAGGGGCTTTTCCGCATCATCCTGGGAATGAGGTTTCTCCTAACATATCCCGGGTTACCACAGGAGCAGGAGTGGAAAGTCAAAATATCCAAGAGGACAGACTGGCAGATGGGCGAAAGGTCCTCAAAGAGCCTGGGAGAGTTGGTGCACTATGGGTCCTACCAGGACCAGGAAGGGTAAGAAACACCAACCATCCAGGTCACCAGAGCACCAACACTCGGGGCCCCACCCCCATCCCTCTAACCTCTCATTTAAAGGACTAGAGGAGGTGCTGCAGGGCTGCCCCTTCCCCAAAGCAGGACCAACAGTGAGGAAGGGATAGATACATGGTGGGGCAGGGCGACCTCCAGGTTAGGAATCCCTCCACCCAGTCCTACAGACCCTCCCAAGGCTGGGGAGAAGTGGCACAGTCCTGATCAAAGAGATGAGCTGTGGGCTGGGGCCCTGGCTCAGGGGCAGAGCGCTTGCCTACCACCTGTGAGGCACTGGGTTCGATCCTCAGCACCCCATAAAAATAAAAAATAAAGGTATTGTTTCCTTCTACTATAACAAATATTAAAAGGAGGAGAGGAGAGATGAGGTGGGAGAAGGAGGCCCCTTCCCAAGACTTTCTAACTGGGGCCTCAGCAAAGCTTGTTGGAGAGTCCGGTCCCCAAAATCAATTTGTCCTCTCAACACTGCAACTCCAAAGCAGGACTGTCCCTACGGCCTCTCCTGCCCCAGCGGCTCCAGCCCCACCCTCCTCCCTACCCTCCCTACCCTCCCTACCGCCCGTGTTTACTTCCTGAATCCTGCCCCACCTGGCTGGCCCCAAGGGCGGGTGTCCAGGCCCAGTGTTTAGGGCAAACAGAAAACAAGGCCACTGGGTTGTAGCTCGGTGGTAGAGCGCTGGCCTAGCATGTGTGAGGCACTGGGTTCCATTCTCAGCATCACATAAAACTAAATAAATAAAATAAAAATACTGTGTCCATCTACAACTGAAAACATTTAAAAAAGAGAAGAAAGAAAGAAAAGAGAAAGAAAACAAGGCCACCTTCCAGGCTTCCCAGGGTGGAGATAGGGGCTGGCGGGCCGAGGCTGGGGCCGAGTGGCAGGAGGTCGGGGTCAGGCCTAGCCCAGCAGGCCATCCCTTAGGGATTTACTTGGGGGCGGGGCTTAACCTGGGGGGAGGGGGATGCGGGGCCCTGGTAAGGAGGTGGGAAACCCCTAGGTGACCCAGAGTTGAGGGCGAGCCCAGGACACTGAGGCCCCGCCCACTGACTCTCAGGGAAAAAAAAAACACCCAATGAGAAGGAGGGGGCAGCTCTTTTAAAGTTTAATTTGGGACGAACGCAAGACATCCCCTGGGGAGTTAATCATTATTTTGCTGAAGGCAAAATAAAGGGAGGTTCCCCTCCTCCAACACGCACACAGCAGGATATCTGCGGGAAAAGGTAAAGCAGAGTCCAGGCCTGGCAGACCCAGAGGGCATTCCTGGAGGACAGAGGGATTGGGGGGAACTTCCACCTAGTCCACAGGTGCATTCTCTGTCCCCAACCCGCCATAGAGAATCAGACCCCAACCTGGGTCTTTCCCCAGTCTCATCAAACAAAACCACCTGTCCCCAACACACACACCCTCCACAGGCCCCACTGCACTGTAAACACCCCAGCATCCATCGCTTCATTCTGAAGCCAGGAGGGACCCCTGGGCCCGGCCCCACGTTTCATCAAAGCCGCAAGCTGTGTTCCCGACCAGGGAACACAATAAGCAGAGATGGAACTCCAGTACTTCGGAAAATCCCTCTTCTTTACTAATCCTTCCAAATTCGAAGGTGCCCCCCCACCCCGCCCGCGGAATCATCTTAGTAGAGACTTGGGGATACACAAATTGAGGTAAATTGGGGTGAGCAAGGGCATAAGGGCAACCTCGGTACCGGGACCCCTTTCTAGCTCCTTCTCGGTAAGCCGGGAAGGGCTAGTTTCAGCGGGAAAGCAAGCCTCCTAGAGGAGCCACTCTGAGATCTCACATCCCAACCGCATCAATTGGCTAGTGTGTGTATTTGGCGGGGAGGGAAGGAGGGAATGCGGAGGGCGGGAAATGAAAAAGGGGGGTTGGGGACGGATGGGAGATGGGAGGAAAAGAGAAACTGGGAGGCCGCGGGGTTACACAGCAGGTGACAGGGTCTTCCCATGCTGAGCCCAGACCTGCCCTGCATGCCACCACCAAGATGAAGTGCCCATTTTGGTCCTTACCTGGACCCTGGGCGTCGGAACACCTGGCTGGAGCCACCGGTTTGGGGAGGGAGACGTTCAGGCCCTTAACTACCTGTCCTTCTCCCTTGCCCCCGCCCCTGGCCTGACATCACCAAGCGGGGAAAGAGAGGGGGAGAGCCAGGCGGCCGTCTGTCCACCCACCTGGGCAGCCAGCCAGCTCGGAATGAAACGGGCACAGCCTGGGGCCCTGGTGTTGCTGGGGAGCGGCGGGGGAGGGGGGGTTAGGAGCAGGCTGTCCTGAGACAGATCTCGATCCGATTACCTGAACGAGCCCCAACAGCAGCAGCAGGACACCAGGTCAAAGTCTGACTCTGTCTAGGGACCCCAGGGACCTGAATTTGATTTCAAAACCACTCCGGCTTCTCTACAGGTGCTAGGAGCAGGTCCCGACCCTGGACGTGGAAGTCGGGGAGGAGGCGGGAAGCTCGGCGTGTCCAGATTCCAGGCCCAGGGAAACTAAAATTATCCTGGGCAGGTGGGGGCGGGGCCGGGGAGGCGCCGGGAGGAGGAAGCCGAGGAGGAGGGGCGGAGACTCCCGACGCGGTGCCGACTGGAGTTGTTTTTGCCCTTCCTAGCCCGGCAGCAGGTGCCAGGGGAGGGTGCAGGTACCTGGGGAGAGGCGGGGAAGACGGTCGAACAAAACAGCCTGGAGAGCGAAGTTCAAGAGACGTGTCTACCTGGGAGAAAGGTTTTGGGGACTGGAAGATAAGGGGAAACGGCCCCGCTCACTCTTCCTCACGCCCCTTCCCAATACTGGTCAGTTCATTGGCCTTGCTAGGGAGCCCATCAGCAGCTGTGGGGAGGACAAAGGGCACTCCGAGAAAGAGAAACCAGCCAGAGGGGTGTCCCGCAACCGGTCCTGCCCCTTGACCTCCAGCTAGCTTGGCCACCCAGGCTGCCCCCTGGCTCCTTAGAGGTACCCAGAGTATGCCCACCCTCTGAACAAAATCCAGGTCTCATCTTTTATTTATTTATTTTTTAATCCAAAGGGTCAGGCAGGGTCGCACAGCGGGAGGGGCCACGGTGATCTGTAGAAAGCTCTGGCCCCAGCACGCAGGCAACTTCTGTGAGAGTAATACTCTTCGCTTTCTCATTCAGCCTTGGACAAACACAGGGGAGAGGGGCTGGGAAGCCACAGTCCATGGCAGGGGCCACCTCCCAGCTCCGTGTTGGTTACAGTTGAGAAAACAAACAATCCACGGTGATAAGAGGTCTGCCCTGGGGGAGCATGGAGGAGTGGCTTCAGCCTGCTTTCTTCAAACTGAGTTTTCCTTGAAAAACCAGTCTGAGTGGGACACTAAAAGGGGTGAGGGAGCCGCAAGGGCACCTGAACCAAGGAGCAGCTTGAAAAAAAGGTAGACAATTCACTCACTCATGTAATCCACTGTTTAAGTACCTACCATATGTCAGCCCTATGCTTGGTTCAGAGGATACAGAGGTGAGCAACGAAAACAGACCCCGCTCTTAGCCTCCTGCAACCCAGTGTGGAAGACCTATGATAATCAAGAAATCAAACAAACAAGAAATGACTGGTGACCACTATTCTGGGAGAGTGACTCACATAGGGACTTAGGGAGAACCTCTTTGTGGAAATGACAATTGAGCAGAAAAGAAGGGCCAAAGCCTCTGGCAGGAGGGGACACAGCATGCAAAAGCAGAGAGGGAGGTGGTCAGGAGAGAAGGGAAAGAGGCCACACAAGGAAGCTGAGCAGGGGTGGAGAAAGCAGCTGTGCTTCTGAAAGGGTAGCCTGAGACCACTGGCCTCCATGTCTCCAGGCTTCTGTGAAAAACAGATCTCTGGGCCTCTCCAGCTACTAAATCTCAGTCTCTGGGGCAGAGTCCCAGGAATGTGTGGTATTGACAAGCCCTCAGGTGGCTGTTCTGCAAACCAGGTCTGAGAGCTATCTGTCCTGTTTGTCCGGATTGGCAAGAGTGGTGGGCAGAAGCCAGACCCTGCAGGTTCCATCTGGGCCTGAGTAGAGGACAAAGCATTGGTCAGGTTTACTTACATTTTGAAAAGATCACTCTGGGTGTTGAAGGATGGGTTTGGAAGGCAGCCAGACTCAGAGGGCTGAGAGCTATAGGACGGCACTTCTGTGGCTTTCTGGAGGAGATAGAACTGTAAGGACAGAAAGCAGATCTGGGATTGGGGAGGAGGGAAAGGTGTTGGTAGTTGGTGACACAGGGACTTGTGCGAGGTCATGGAGCTATGATGATGGAAGCACAATTACGTGTGTATGTCCACTCAAAGGATATAAAATTCATATCTGGATTTTTTTTTAAAAAATTAGTTGTAGTTGTCAAAACCTTTATTTTTTAATTTATTTTTATGTGGTGTTGAGGATCAAACCCAGGGACTCACATGCGCTAGGTGAGCGCTCTACCACTGAGCCACAACCCCAGCCCCTGAATTTTTTAAATAAAAGAAAAAAACAACAAGCTGGGGATATAGCTCAGTTGGTAGAGTGCTTGCCTAGCATTCACAAGGCCCTGGGTTCAATTCCCAGCACCACCAGAAAAAAAGAAAAAAAAAAAAAGAATAGATTTGCAAATGTTCCTTGGCTTATAATGGGGTTATATCTCAATAAACCCAACATAAACTGAAAATATCTTGAGTTAAAAATGCATTTAATACACCTACTCTACCAAGCATGAGTCCAGTTTTTACTGAATCCTTATAATATTCACAACATTGTAAAGTTGAAAAATCATAAAGCAAATTGTGGCAAGTCAGGAATCTTCTGCATAGATCAATGAAACAGAACTGAGAGTTCACATATAAACTCTTACAATTCCAGTCAATAAATTTTTGTTTGTTTTATTCTTCTTCTTATTATTATTATTTTGGTACTGAGGATTAAACTTAGGGGCACTTTACCACTAACCCATATCCCCAGCCCTTTTTACTTTTTCTTTTTTTTTAAATATTTATTTTTTAGCTGTAGGTGGACACAATATCTTTATTTTATTTTTTTAATGTGGTGCTGAGGATCGAACCCAGTGCCTCACACATGCCAGGCAAGTGCGCTACCACTTGAGCCATATCCCCAGCCCCGCTTTTTACTTTTTTTTTTTTTTTTTTGGAGACAGGGTCTCACTAAATTGCTGAGGACCTTGCTAAGTCACTAAGACTATTCTCAAACTAGCAGTCCTCCTACATTAGCCTCCCGTGTTGCTGGGATTACAGGCGTGTGCCACAATGCGTACCTGGCCAATAGATATTTGGCAACGGTGCCAAGACAATTTGATAGGGGAAGAGATAGTCTTTGGGGGAGGAAAATGATGGGGCTGGAACCCAGGGCCTGTGGGTGCTAGGTAACTGCTCTGTCACTGAGCTACCCTGCTCCAGCCCCTATCCTTTTTTTTTAACTTTTCTTTTTTGAGACAGAGTCTTGCTGTATTGCCCAGGCTAATCTTGAACTCAAGGTATCCTCCTGCCTTAGTTTCCTCAGTGGCTGGGACTATAGGCACATGCCACTGCACCTGGCTATAAAAGAGTCTTTTCAATAAATAGTGCTGTGGCAATTGAATAACCATATGCCAAGAGATGAATTAGATATATTTATCTCACCGGATACACAAATGTTAACTCTAAATATACTATACACCTAAATGTAAGAGCTGAAGCATGACGCCATTTTATCTAGATGAAATGAGAACTTGTCTCAAAAAAGGGAGGATGAGCATGTAGCCCAATGTTGAGTACCCCTCTATCCAATCCCCCAGTTCCAAAAAAAAGAAAATATTGCACTTTTAAAAAACATCATTAAAAAAAAAAAGAAAGAAAAAACATCATGTGGGGTAAAAAGGGTTGGGGTGTAGCTCAGTTGTACAATGCTTGTGTAGCATAAGTGAGGCTCTGAGTTTGATCCCCAGCATAAGGATGAGATAGGGAAGCTAGCTAGTCAAAGACTTGGAGAAACTACAAGAAAATCATGTTATCTCATTAAAGACTTTGTATCAAGAATATATAAAGAAACTGGTGTGGTGGTGCACACCTGCAATCCCAGCAGCTAGGGATGCTAAGGCAGGAGGATCACAAATTCAAGACCAGCCTCAGAAACTTAATGAGGTCCTACACAACTTAGTGAGACCCGGTTTCAAAATAAAAATTAAAAAGGGCCCCTGGGTTCAATCCCTGGTACCCCCATATATATATTTTTTCAATCCCTGGTAAGATATATATATATCTTACATGTCAAAAATAAAGAGATAAGTAACCCAATTAAAAATGGGCAAAATATCTGAATAGATATTTCTTCAAATAATATATATGCATGGTTAATAACTGCACGAAAAGATTAGAAATGCAAATTAAAACCACAGTAATATACCACCTCTCACTCACTAAAATAGTCAAAGAGACAGACAAGTATTGATGAGGATATGGAGAAAAAATCCTTGTATATTGTATTGGTGGTGGTAATGTAAAGTGGTACAGCCACTTTGAAAAACAGTTTGGCAATTTCTTAAAAACTTAAACATAAGCTTAACCATAGAATCCAGTAATCCTACTCCTAGGAAATGAAAATACACATCCATACAAACACACCTGCAGGACATTTATAGGAGCATTCAAAACAGACTGGAAACCCAAATGTCCATCAACTGGGAAATAAATAAAATGTACTTCATCCATGGAATGGAATACTACTCAGCAGTGGAAAAGGACCTACTGCATGTAGGATGATGATCCTTGATAAATATTTTACAGCGTGAAAGAAGCCAGAAGCAAAAGACCACATATTGTATGATTAGCTTCGTAAGAAATATCCAGGAAAGGGAAGTTTATAAAGTTAGAAAGCAGATTAGTGGTTGCCTATGACTGGAATTGGGAACTGAAATGATGGCAAACAAGCAGAGGGGCTGATGGAAATATTTTGTAACTGGACTGTGGCAATAGTTGCACAACCATACAAATCACTGAATTATTTAAAAAGCGAAAGCGGGGGCGGGGGCAGTTTAAAGGGACACTGAAGTGGGTGACTTGCTAGGATACTATCATGATGCTCCAGAGAGGGGAAGAGGCAGCCAGGACTTAGGCAGCCTCCGCTTCTCAAGTTGCAAAGTGGAAAAGATGAGGCCAATCCTCTAGTAAGGAGCCGGGATGAGACAGGGGATGTGTAGAAACTGGGTGCAAGTGATGGAGACATAGACCCAGAGATGGCACCTTCCCGCTCCCGAAATGAAGGAAAGAGGTAGTAGCAAAATATTGGAAAAAGAACAGCGTTAGTGCTTCAAAGTCCAAACAACTTGAGCGTATGACCATGGGGCGTTTTAAAATGCCAGCAGCAGACCAGGGAAAAATGGCAACTATTACAAACCATCAGTCACTCCATCCCCATCCCCAGAATGCTTGCCCTTTTATAAACTGGAAAGCGCTTTGCAGCCTAAATTCATCAGATTAAGCAGGGCCACGAAGTCCGGCGGACCCTAGGTGCGGGGCAAGACTCCCACTCGAGGGCCCAGCCCCAGCCCGGGGACTCCAGTTCTGCGCGCCGCAGTACAGAACCAGTACGTAGCACTGAACCAGTACGTAGCTCTAGCCGCAGCCCGCAAGGGGCGCCCAGACGCAAAGCGCGGTCCCGCCACGCCCCGCGGCCACGCCCCGTCACGTGCTCGCGGCATCGCGTCACACCCGGAAGCAGCGGCCGGAGCAGAGCCGGTAGCGATGAGCGGGGATTCGGGGCAAGTGTCCGTAGCGCCCCCTCCTGGGGAGGTCGAACCGGGTAGTGGGGTCCGCATCGTGGTGGAATACTGGTGAGCAGTCCGGCTGGAAGGGCCCCTCTCTGTCCCCGAGGCCGGACGGAGGTGGGTCCATGGAAAGCCCCTCCCCCGAAACTCCAGTCCACCCTATGTCTCTTCTCCCCAGTGAACCCTGCGGCTTCGAAGCGACGTACCTCGAGCTGGCGAGTGCTGTGAAGGAGGAGTATCCGGGCATTGAGATTGAGTCGCGATTGGGGGGGACAGGTGAGGTCCGAAGAACACCTGCTGAGTCAGTCTGTGTTCTAAAGCCCAGCTCTCCTGCTTTCTAGCTCTGACATTGGCTGCTTTATATGAAGTGCCCAGCAGTGTTTTGCACATCGTAAAAATGTCCAACCACCATGCATCCGCTTGCATAGGTGAGGGGGCCACGGATGAGGTCTATGAGGAGTAACCTGTTAAACTGCAATAGTGTGGCTTTGGAGTGTAGGGAGCCCTTCATTAAGTGGTGAAAGGACACACAGTTGAGGCCTCCTCTAGGTTCCATTGAGTTGACACCCAGTTGAGGATTGGATTAAGGAGCTACAAATATCTCTGATGAGGCTGATGGGGAAACATGAAGGAGCCTGTGAAGAGTCTAAGGAAGGGGCTGGGGATGCGGCTTAAGCCGTAGCGTGCTCGCCTGGCATGTGCGGCCCGGTTCGATCCTCAGCACCACATACAAACAAAGATGTTGTTGTCTGCTGAAAAATAAATATTTTTTTAAAAAAATCCTTTAAAACCTTTAAAAAAAAAAAAGTCTAAGGAATGTGGAGGGTCTCCCCTGACTTTTTGCCTGTTCTCAGCATACCATTCATTCATGCCTTTATTTCGTACCAGGAGCCTTTGAGATTGAGATCAATGGACAGCTGGTGTTCTCCAAGCTGGAGAATGGGGGCTTTCCTTATGAGAAAGATGTGAGTATTTGCAGTCTTGGGAGGACCCTGGGGCATCCTGCTCCATAAGTGCATCGTCCTATTCCACATCTCTACTCTCTAGCTCATTGAGGCCATCCGAAGAGCCAGTAATGGAGAACCCTTAGAAAAGATCACCAACAGCCGTCCTCCGTGCATCATCCTGTGACTGCACAGTTCTGGGTTCCTGCTGTGTTCTGGGATCCAGACCTTGGTTTCCTTTGGTCCTACTGGGAACAACCCCTGCCTCTTTCCCCTCACTTAGCTCCTGGTAGCTAAGAGGCCCTGGCCTCCACTTTGCCCTTTTGGGCAACAGAAGGGAATAGAAACTTCTGTGGTCTTGGGTGTAAGAAAGGGATGCTCTCTGTGGATATTTCACATCCACCTTAATACCCGCTTCTCAGAATCAGTGCCCACAAAAGCCCAGTCTCCTCCCCAACTTGGCAATACCTGTCAGATGCCACCGTAGATCTAATTTATTCCCCAAGCCCTGGGCAGTGTCAGCAGTTGGCAATAAAGAGGCACTATGAACACTTGTGCCAAGTAGTGTGTGTTTATGTGTCCATTCTA